CATGTCTGCACTTCTTTTATTTCTGACATCACATAATGAATGTCTCCACATTTTGCTGATGGCAATGTGGTCGATTTGATTTTCTGTTGCATTATCTGGGGAAACCCAAGTGACTTTATGCAAATGTTTGTGCGGGAAGAGACTACCTCCTATGGTGAGGCCCATGGTGTTACATAATTCATAGAAACGCTCCCCATTATCGTTCATTGTGCCGAGAGCATGTTTACCCATCACTTGCTTTCTTCCATTGTTATCTGGCCCGATTTGTGCGTTGAAATCTCCCATGACGAGCTTTATTTCACCTCTAGGGCATTTATTTAAAACAGAGTATAGGGAGTCATAAAAATTTTCCTTGATTTGTGGGTCGGTGACTTCAGTAGGCGCGTAACACTGTATGCATGTGAGGGTTCTGGCTCGAGTTTTAAATTTTGCCAGAATTATTCGGTCGCCATGTGGTTGCCATTCTATGAGCGCTTGTTTAGCTTCTTTGGATAATAGAAAGCCTACTCCACTTTCTCTTTTTTCGCCTGTGGCCTTTCCAGAGTATATGAGTGTAGCGCCGGAGGATGTTTTGTATTCGCCGCAGCCATTCCATCTTACTTCGCTTAGCCCGATGAATAAAAGATTGAGACGTACAAATTCACGTTCAAGTTGAGCAAGTTTTGATGTTTCTGCTAGAGTTCTTATATTCCAGGTTCCGAATCGTTTCCGTATTTTCATTCCAATAGTCGTCATCAAAGGGAGCCGTTGGTTATAATTATTTGTTTCGGTTTCAGTAATCGTGTAGATTCAGATGAACGAGTGATTAGCCCATGCATCCTATACTGGTACTGGGGCTGCCAGTTAAGGCCACCAGTCAGACCTTCAGACTCGAGAGTCCGAGAAAACGGTGGGCTTCTTAGCGAAGATTGAAGATGCTGTATCTTGCCTACATCCCGGGACGTCATGGAGGAAAAAGACCATCCGGGTCGCGAACCGTTGTGGATGTCGCGTATAGTGCTTTTTATCTGTTTTTTATTATTTTTAATTCTAAATAAACTAATTATTTAAAAATTTCAATAAATTAATCAAATTTTTGTTGTTGCTTTTTCATTACTCTTCGAATCCTTCTAGTTTCTTTTTATGATAAGACGCGTCAGATTCCACAAAAATTATTAACATTAAGAAATATATTATTTTTAATTTATATAAAAAACATATGATAGTCTTCTTTCATCCCAATTGAAGTCTATGACAAAAAAAATACTTTTGGTACTTTCGACTATATAAAAATTTTTAATTTTGAATAAGAAATGACGAATACTTTTTGCTCAAGCCAATATTTAAGTTTTATGCTCTTGTATGGCATAATCTTTGTAATCCAGTTCTTATTCCAGCTTTAGACATTGATTCTTATAGAGACTACTAGCAAAAGTAAACGAATAAATAGCAAAAATTAAGAGAGAAATTAATGGAATAAATCTTAATATAAAAATAAATTATTTCTTCGTATAAAATATTAATCAAGAGAAAAAATCTGATCTATTAAAAATTTCTTAGAATTAAAGGTATTTCGTTGTATTCAAAACTTGTGTTGCTTTTAATAATTTTTAAGTGACTTAATTATTTTAAGTTATATCATACATTTTTATTTTTTATTATCAATATAAATTAATTACTCTGATTTAATTATTTATTTTAAGCTATATTGTACATTTTCATTATTTATTATTAATGTGAATAATTATTGAAAATTATTTGATTTATCTCTTATCCTTAATAAAACTTTCAAATCTTTCACAAATAATTTCAAGTACACACCTTATGCACTCGTTAGGATATTTTTCACAATCGGTGATACAACGGAAACGTTCCCAATGCATCCAGCCCATGGGTGGTGTCCTAGCTAAACCATTTTCTAAAGCGGCAACATAATTTAGAACAAAAAGCACTAATAGTAAATATTTTAGAACATTTTTAAACATTTTGAAGCACTTCTTTTAATTTTCACTTTTTTTTTGAAAAGTCAACACCTGAGAACCACAACCCACTGAATGAATCCTTTCCCAAGCGAAGCAATGATTTTATAGTTACAAGTTGCATAAAAATTTATCTTTGAAGTGCATAAGTGAGTTCTCATTGATAAAACTACGAGTAACAGTAAAAGATATCGTCACACAATATTGTTTCTATAATTGTTTTGGAATTGAAGCTCTTGGAGTGTGTGCCACTCCAAATCAACCGAATTTATAGCGAAGAAGAAATCCGCACAGCGTGGAACCGCGCACTGCGTTCTTATCACTTCTAGTTTCAATTTTTTTTCTACGTCTAAGTTCAGTGGTCGAGAGCTCAACGGGCCTGTTTATTATTTATTTGTAAATACCGTTTCTTATGTACAATAGTTTATTTATATACTGCATATTCTGTATATACTCGCATAAAAAACTATTTGAAATGAGCCACTTGATACTCTCAAAAATCGAATGAGCAACGCGATTGTGTGATTATTTGCCCCCGCACTGGCGAACTGCTTGGTTTTAGTGATAAGCTAGAGCTAAATGGATCCAATTATGTATATGCAGTTCACTCGCTATAGTGGGACTTGTTATTGTTTGTTTTTGTTAGTGCCAATTACTTTCCGCTGGTTTCGTTTTCATCGAAATGCAGAAATGAGAGATAAGCTAAGCCGGCTTCGCCTTGATAGTGAAATTAAGAACAAAACACAACTGAGAAATACTGTAAAGCAAGTGCAGTGGCTCACAATATATTTCAAAAGAGGATTTCTTTTTATTTTGAATACTCTAATAACAAACATCAATGCTCTCTTAATTCTATTCTTATACAAAGTTACAATATCAGTTAAGTTGAGAATCATTATATATAGATTCCCATAGTTACAACTTTCTAAATTTTATAGTTAGTGGGCTTTAGTGGTGGAAAAACGTTTACTTCTTTTTAAATGCAGTACAGGTACTGTTTTGTTAACCTAAATCCGTTTATAAATTTCTTAGTTTCTGAAACTAAATTGGAAGATTGATAACCATGATTATTTTCTGAAGATCCATATTTAAAATATCAGCCAGGCTCCCACCTTCTAGTTGCAATCGAATCGAATATTATCAGTTTTCTTAAAAAAGATATAGATAATAATATTTATGCAACCAATATTTAAAAAAATTTACTGAAACTCATAGACTACGAATTATAAGTGAAGAAGAAGATATGGTGAAAACTGCGTTTTACAAAGCCACAGTAATAACCGAATCTAGCGGATATTTAGGCCAAACATTATATAAAATACTGATTTAAGATTCAAAATTAAGCAACCACCAATCACTAAAATTATATTAATCGAATATATAAATGACTTGATAGCATTCAAAGCGGACTTACAGAAGAATTTTTTAAAAAAAATAGCTTGGTAATAAACCTCAAGACAGAAGAGACCCAGGTGTTGCACCACACATGGAAAATGCATATAGAAACAGACCTCCAAAGAACTTATAAAGAAACTTCGTCAAGTTAAGCAATTAATTTATTCAACTCTGTGCCGACTAAGTTCATTAGAAACTATTTATAACAACCCTATATTTCCTGAAGGAATTTTAAGAATTAAATTTACATAAATATAGTTATGTTAATAGTTTTATAATAATTTTATGAGACATAATATTTTGCATTTACTTTATTTAAAATAACTTAATAACAATTAAAACTAAACCAATTTATTTCAATAACAACCGATTCTAGGGCATCAAGTTCAAGTCTTAAGAATGCAGAACAAAAAATAGAGGGTCTTTCATTCCTTATAGAAGCAACTTGAAGGTAGTATAATAAATATGACTGTGTTTGTACTGATCAGTACACTAAGTTGGTCAATAAGTTCATTTCATACTATTAAAGAAGATTTAACTTTTATTGGCATTTCAATATTTCATATCTTATAAGAACGGAGTCAAAATTTCTTTACGATTTCATTTTATTCTTAGTTTATATATATTCATATATTGTATACAATAAAGATTTCGTCTAAAACCTAACAAAGCATAGCTATATAGCGCTACTTATAAAAAAAAATAACATCTCCTTTCTTAGACTTTCATTTCTTTCTTTGAGGTGCTGGAGACCTGAGACGAATAGTCTAATAATTTTCCTGTTTCTTGTATTTATGACAAATTGAACTACTGACTTGCACTTGATTGAAAGTTTTGTATTTTTAAATATAAATATATTAAATACATATTTACACAGTCGCAATAAACAAACTTTTTGAGCTACGTCATCACTTCTTGCAAATTGACAAAGGCAAGGAATTTTATAATATAGGTTTTATGTATTTTGTCGCCTTCGATTGTTTTTATTATTTGTTTATTCTCCAGTTTTTATGTAAATTGATATTTATTTAATATATAAATAACTTATATAGAAAGTCTTTGTTTAGTTTCAAGTGATTCTTATGTAGATATATCACTCTATATAGTGCTAGCAAGAATTTCGCACCTACTATCGTCCTAGACACCCTACAACAAATATATCAAGACCAGCTGATAAAGACACTCTACAACTAATAGATCAAAACCATCTGATAAAGACACTATACAACTAATAGATCAAAACCAGCTGATAAATATATATAGTATGATATATATATATATAGTATTATATATATATAGTATATTTTGTTCGTGTCGCCAAAATCGATGAAAATGCTTCTGTTAAAAATATTTGATTCGCGATCCGTTAGTGGCTAACTTGGACCTATTTATTTTTAATGGAAGTACTATAAGCTGACGGCACAAACTACTGCCAACTGGCGTTAGAGAGCCAATGTCGGTCTGGTTAGTTGAGACTACTGAACATAGGCTTCTCTAAAGTTTTACTAAATAAATTATAAACTAATTATATAATTTCTTATATTAAAATTTTAATTAAGAATTTAATGTGCTATGACAAGACATCTGTTTTCAATAAAAAAAAAGGTAATTAACACTTTCAAAAAAAAAAAATTATTTTTTTAAATAATGAGTTCTGGAGTACATCATGCAGCTGCTTTGTATATCGCCAAATATCAATCAACATATCAATTAAAAATTTTTTTAATTTGATTTAATAATTTTAATCACAATCTATTATTCGATATATTCGATATACATATATCTGTTTTTTATACCTATGGGAGTTCCACAAATAATACAAAGTAATCAATAACATTGATCTAACATAATATACAAAAGTTCATTTATTTTATTTTATTTTATTATTTAATTAAATATGAATAACTTACGAAATATACAAATGTTTCCAAATAGGTACTCAAATTTCAAGAACCTTTTGTTTTGGAGGTTACTATTTATTTAATAAAATCTAAAAGTTATACTAACCTAGAAATTCCGATCGAAACGATAGATTTTTTAATTTTCATATTAGAACTAAAAGTGTGTTGTGTTCAAATTTTGTACTCAAGAAGAAGAAGAAAAAGTACACAATCGTATGGATGAATATCTAAAAGAGAGGTTGTATAATTTTGACCCAGTTCTGAACAAGTTGTTGACAACGGCAACCGCAATAGAATGTACTTACTTCACTTAAGTAATTAATATTTGCTCAACAATTTATTTTAGTACGAGTAATATAATATATATACGTATTGCATTTAGTGATTGGATTGCTCACAAGTTGCCGCTAATAAATATTTCAAATTGCAGAAATACTCGTACGTCCAAATCGGCAATTACAATCAATCAATCTATTATCGTTTCAGTCAGATAACAATAGCACTCCAAATTAGCTGTGGATGATTGAAAATATTGATTCTAGCTCAGATGATATGATAGCTGAGCAGATATGCATGCCACTTGATAATATTGACCATAAAAATGCCAACATAAATGTTATCTATTGATTCAGATTATATATTGTTCATTCAAATGTAAGTCTGTAAATAGACTACAATAACCGGAGTAGGTATGGAATATGTTAGGGGTATCCATTATGATCACTACTTAATTACATTACACTGTTGACAAATTCATTTCGGTTTTGAGTATTTTGACTATCGTATAATAGTTTAAGTGATATTGAGCAAGTAATATCAAAAACGTAATATCAAAGTAATATCAAAAATATCACCAGGGAGCAAGAGTACTGCAAACCACAATTAATCCCAACCAAAATAAGACAATCCACCTTTCATATAAAGCTTTCCTTAGACAGTTGTTAATATCGGGCAGAATCAATACCAACC